TGTTGTCTTTATTATTGAATATCATCAAGCGCCCCAACTTCTAATCTAATAAGCGCACGTGAATGTTTTTTTATATATGCGCTTTTTTTTCTGGAACTCTCTTTTTTACTGACATTTGCATGACCGGAAAGTTTAAATGACATTGACAAGAACTTTTTGTTATTTTTTTTTGTTTTTCTGTGGGGTTGTTGGGGGCAGAGGCGATCTGTTTTATGAACTCCATTGTGGCATGAAAAACTTGTTTGCATTACTTGCTGGTTAGAATGGATGGCGCATTATGAAAACCTCATCATTAAGATAGGGGCTGAGGGGTGAGGGGGTGCGGGCAAGACAACATTTTGCTGCGTTTAGTGGTTTAATTTTTATGTTAGCAAAAATTTTATGACATTTTTGTTGGCGGGACTTTTGCTTCAACGACTTCATGGAACGTTCGTGCTCCCATATGGGACGGATTCATGGCTTGTGTCTTGACGATGGGCTGTTGCGAGTGGGACAGGGAGTGGGAGTGGGAGAGGGTGTGGGGCACACTTTTAATGTGTGCTGCATGGACGGTGTCTGCTCTTTTAAGTGCGCCCAGCGCAATGTGTTTTTTGTGTTGCTTCAAGTCTGGGTTTTATATTACGTTTTATGATCCCATCTTTTGAGTGCTGCTACTGTCGATTTTAAAGCAACTGTTGCTGTTTTATTATATTTTCAGCTCTTTGTTTTAACTTCCCCTGTTCTCTTTTATATTTGAACATTTTTTTATGTTATGTTTAGAGCTATGAAGATTATGTAATTTAACTGTAGATAAGAATCATGTTTAGTTTGGGCGATGGTTTAGGAATATATAAGAATGTGAAACTGCTACATACATAACATACATATCTACAGATGAAGAAATATTTTTTCTTAGTCTGCCTCTGTCTCTAAACCTGTAAGCCTGTTTTCTTTACAGTATAAAGTAGATATCACTTTTTTAATAGAGTTCGCAGCTAAAATTCGTTTTAGTTTCTTCTCACATTTTGCCAATCCATTTGTACAACGACTCTGACTACCTCTACTTACAGCTTCTCCTGCATTTCCGCTGACATGTCCTGCGGCCAACATAATCGTGCAAACACTCGTACTGCCATAATTTCACATGCACAGACAAAAGAGCCCAGCACTTTCGGAGCCAGTCACTGAGTCAGAGAGTCGCAGAGTCTTTTAGTCCAGTCCCAGCCCCGACTGCCTTCATTTTGTCCATATGTTACACACATTATGCTTACTTAACAATTAGAGACGCTCTGCTCTTGTAATTCCAGTAAATTGCTTTGTTCTGTTCCCCTTTATTATTTTTTCTTTTCTTGTTTTTTCTACTTTAGTGCTTTTGTCTTTTGTGGCCGTTACTTGGGGGGACGACAAAATTGTTTTTACCAAGCAAGTGGCTTTAGCATTTTATGTTATTGAGGTCTTTTGAAGGGGCTGCACAGCTTACAACAGACTGTTCACACTATTTCATACATCCAAGTGCACTGCTTAAGAAAATAATAATGCAGTCTAGATATAAAGAGTAACAATTTTTAGAAAAAAGTATTGAATTCAGAAGACCTCTTTTTTTATATTTATTTTTAATATTTTACAACAATTTTCAATGAAAAAAATAATCTATTGGCCATTATATTTAGATACTTGTAGATATAAAGCAGCAGATGCCAAATGGGAGTCCTCCGAGGCAGAATACAATATTTCTTCTTTTATTTCTCATAGCCTAACCATGATCATGGGACGCCTATTATTCTATTTTGGATTTGGTATCTTTTGACAAGCATTTGACAAATTTGGCATCCAGGTGTACTTCAAATTCAGATTAATCACAAGTATATAGAGTAGGTGAGTTCTCAATACAGTATTCTATTATTGATTCATAAATATAATTTCAATATAAATATATCTAAGTTGCAACATGTCACTTATTGCACTTATTGCCATATTGATGCATCTACTGCTCTTTAAAGAACATCTTACTATGGACAACAAATAATTAAAGTTATTAAGGATAGAAGTTAACATAAGGTCGAATTCGAATGAGTGTTCATATACTTTATGGGGTCGAATATGTTATATATCTTTTTTTAAAAAACATAATATGGTATACTCTTTCTACACGTCAGGTATAGGGTATGAAAATAAAGTTGTATTTCGTGAAGTTTGAAGTTTTCTTAAAGCTGCTTTTACTACGAATTGTCATCATTTCGTTTATAATGTTTGTCCACTGAAGATATGCATTTACATTTACTATTCTTCAATTGAATTATACAGAATATCTTATGACATAAGCAAATGCTATTCACGAGAAGTGGCTTGTGTTTTCTTTAGTTCCAAACATAGCATTAAAAGGTCTACTTGTGATTGCAGGTGGACTGTCGAAGACCACAGAATGCGTTGCTATCGTTATCGTTCACTGAACAGCTGCCCAATCACTCATGGGCTAACTGATCGATACATCTCTAGACATACGAGTGCTTTTCTTTAATTGAATTATACAGAATATCATATCACATAAGCAAATGCTATTCACGAGAAGCGGCTTGTGTTTTCTTTAGTTCCAAACATAGCGTTAAAAGGTCTACTTGTGATTGCAGGTGGACTGTCGAAGACCACAGAATGCGTTGCTATCGTTATCGTTCACTGAACAGCTGACCAATCACTCATGGGCTAACTGATCGATACATGTCTGGACATACAAGTGCTTTGATGTGTGCTCATGTGTGTGTGTATGTGTGTGTGTCTTTGTTATTGTTATTGTAATTCATGCACAGTCAGGTCGCTATAGAGATACAGATAGAATGTGGAAACGTGCGCCATGGCTCAGTTGGCGTGTGGTATTTCATACTTATACCTCAGATTCAGATTGCATGCCCATATGCCCATTTTTCCCGTCGCCGTTGTCGTTACACTCGTATGTATGTCGTGTCCCCAGTCCCCAGTCCCATGTTTCGTGCTGCGCTGAGCTGCGATTGATATTAATGATTACTGCAATGGCATTAAATTATTTTTTCTTCTTTTTTTCCACACATAAATTTCTTTATGCATGATAACTCAGCGGGAAAAAATGCTCATGTTTCTGTGTGTGTGTGTGTGTGTGTGTGTGTGTGTGTATGTCATAGGTATAGGAAAACGATGGCTGATTATATGGCATGAGTGGAGGCGTTGCTTTCTACCCCGGACCCTGACCCGGACCCAGACTGTTGCCGTTCCCATTTCTCTCTCTCTTTCTCTCTAGAACCTTTGTGCAATGAAATCAAAGACCCTTTTACCCATTTACTGATAACGGGCGCAACAACAGCTATAACGAACGAGCGAACGAACGAAGCATTTGTTTAATGGATTAAAAATAATATAGAATAAAGACGAAGATAAAAATCATCATAGCACGGTTTGTGGCAAATGGAGAAATTGGGCGAATGTGCCTAGCTGCGCGTCATAAATTAATTTTTATAAAATTCTGCAGAGCCGATGTTGATGACCTGAATCTTATAAATAATGTGAGCAGGGCCGGCTTTGTGATGAACCGACAGGCAGACAAACAGACAGGCAGACGGACAGACAGACAGCCAGCTGAACAGGGTGGGTAGCTTTTCCTTCATACTAAGGTATGGGGGGAGCCGAAAGTTGAAAGCATTTCCTTTTGTGGGGGGTTGGAAAGGCTTCATGTTCATAATCATAAGAGCAGTGGGTTGGGTGAGAGCTTTTTCTAAAAAATTAGTTGCAAAAATAATGATTAGGCACTTTTCCCTTTTGTTGGAATAATTTGACAGGCCTTGTCTAGGGGTAGTTGGCTAATTAGCCATTCATTGTGGTCAAGGGTAGCTGAAAAGGTACCAGATCACTCAAGGCATATGACTGGACATGAAATTAGTGGCGGGAGAAAGGAGAGCTGACGCTGAAATGTTGTTAAGCAACTTTATGTGCAAGTAAAAGTATATTCTCGAAATTATATAGAAAGACCCTGGGAGCAGAATGAAATGGTCTGCAGTAGAGAATCGATTCAGAAATGATTTAGTCAACATTTAACTTGTTTCCTTAAAATCAATTTGTTTTTAGGGAATCAATTGGTCGTAGAGAGTCAAATGCATACTTGAAAAATACACCATTATTGAAAACTGGTGCTGAAAATGTATGAAAAATACTTCTTTTTAAATTAATGATTAATCGATTTTATTTTAGAGAAAACCGCGATAAAATCGACAAAGAACGATGTAGTCTACATCGAGGTTATTCCAACTTCTGTTCTTTCGGATGGAAACTAATTGGAACTCATTTGTGATAGCAGAGTGGCAGGGAAACAAATTTAAGGAACGAAATATCTTTCATTTCATTTATTCACAAAAATTGGCTCATAAATTGGTGTGTACCTATAATTAGTTAATAATAAAGAGTACGGGTTATAAAACCTTATCAACTTAATTATATATAAAGGGAGTTTTTACAGTTTATGAGTAAGCGGTCAGTTTCTAAAAAGCAGGGGAAAAATTTAATCAAAAACCCATGAATAGTTTATAGAATGATATCTCTTAGAAAAATATCTCAAATTTGTACTTGCAAATAGGGAATCGCTTATATGCTATACAAGTAATATTTCATTCTTTCTTACACCAAGATCATCTGACTACAATTCGTATTGATATATATTAGTCTCCATATTATTCTTACAAAAATTTAATAGAAAAGTGATTAGTGTCTTATTGAGCAAATTTTCTTTTTCTTTCAATTGTGAACTGTCGTCTTCTGTTATAGGTTTCGGCGATAAACAAAAACTCCTTGACTGGATAGTAATTCAGCAAAATTCCTATAACATTCGTGTTTAAAGCTGTTGTTAACAGTCCTATTTTGTAATTACTTGTTGCTCATCAGGACTTAAATTTAAAATGTACGCCAACTTGAATATTTCTCTCAGTTGCCTTTGGTGTATCTGTCGGGCGTCAGAGTGCCAAGCCGTTGGAAAAAGTTAGTCCTGTTCTAAAAGCAGAGCAATAATGCTTAAAACTAATCGCGGTGCAAAGGAGTCATCGGATAAGTCGACGCGACGAACGTCGTTTACTCCGCCTCTAGATGATGGAGTGTTGAGCGGATCGCTGGAGAAATCCCGAACGCGTCCTGCCGAGTTTTGTTGCAGAAACCGATGGATAAAAGTCAGTAAATTCGGGTGGTACCGCGTCCTGGTGCGCAGCAACAGTTACCAAACCTCACAAATGCTGCAGGAGCTGCGTCGGGCGGTAGCCCCGCTATCCTTTATGCCCTACTATCTGCACCGAGGCGGTGAAAGAGATGCGCCCGAGGACAGACACGCCAACTTCACCTTCTATGTGAATAGCTATACCGTGGCCTGTGAGTTATTGAATTGCTCGGGGCGTTGGCTGTTACCCAATGGCAAGGAGTTGTTTCTGCGTGTGAATTCAAGGGCACCTCTGGTGCGCCTCAATGCCGACTACAGGGCGCGCATGCGCATAGCCATAAAGAGGCGCTTCGATCCGACGAATGGGGTTTTAAATATGTGTGGCTTCCATACGGACTCCCAATGGGTTCACGAATTCTGCTCTCTTTCGCAATACAAGATTTTGAAGGCGGCCATCGGCATAATGGGCGAGCTGAGGCCTGAAGTCTCTGGCTTGCTTCTGGATAGCAACTATTTGAAAAGCTTACATCCTTTTCGAGGTGTGGAGCGAGAATTGCCACGTCTTAGTTCCATCTCCCTAAAGGACAACGAATTGTCAGAATTGCATTTCTTGTTGGTCTTTAAGAAATTGAACCTGACACACATTAAGTTGCAACGCAATCCCTGGACTGTGACAGATCGGCAGGAGTTTAAGCGTCGGCTCTTAGAAGTGCTGCCGCAACTAACCCATCTGAATGATCGACCCATACGGCAGACATTCAGGCTGGGAGTGGATAGGTGTAGATTGCTGAAATCAAAAGAATTCTATATGGTGAACATGTCTGCGTTCGAGGATATGCGCACATATATCTATACATATCTCACCGCCTTCGATTCAGCCTCCAGACGCAGTCAACTGGCTCCATTCTATCATGAACACGCTATGGTTTCGGTTACGGTGTCTGACAAGTAAGTATTGAGAAAATAAGGATAGAAGATGAATTAAGGTTTAAGAACACTCAAAAATGCGACAAGAAACTACTATCAGACAATTTATTATTCATTTCATTAAATACTTCGCAACTAACGATTACAGTTTTCGATAAAACCGATTCATGAATTGCGACGCTGGGAGAAGACTTATGACTTTTCTTGCTTATATTTTATTGCTATTCCACACAGCATGATGCCCTACAAGGCCTACGATCACAATATACTCAACGAATGCCCACATCGTCGGATGCTATGTAAACGTTATGCCATCCTTGATATGTTTGCAGACTGGCCGCGAACTGAACATTTGCGTGATGAGAACTTTACTTTTGATCTGACTGTACAGTCGGAAAAGATGTTGTGCTTCAGCATTACTGGATATTTTAATGATCATGGCATGGAACTGGAACGCCGTATGGCTCCGCCATTCATGTTCCATTTCATGCGTTGCTTTGTCATCACGCCAAATAGAAACGGACGGTTTTGCATTAGAAATGAGATTATACATCTGAACAGACTTGGTACATCCCAGCAATGTATAGGCAACAAAGATATAAATGGTAGCTTTTTATAGAAACAAGTATTCGCAACGCAAATTGTGATTAATAACTCTGTGAAGAATAAAATACACTTACGATTATGTAGCTCAACATTTCTATTGTATTTTAAATAGTGAGAACTTGGCTTGGAATAATGCCAAGCAATCATTGGGAAGTTCGTCAAACTGAACTTTATTATATTTATAGGCAGACTAAATTTTCTCATACGCATCAATATCTAAGTATCTAATGCTAATGGTAACTAAATGCATCAGATCACATTAATTCAAGGGGGTTTTCTTTTTAAAAAGGTTCATTGGTTCTCCTCCAAAAATTAAGAAAACATTTATTTTTTACATGATTTCTAATTACTTCTACTATATAGAATAGTCAATTGGCTTTCACAAAAAAAGAGTACTCTTAGTTTTTACCAAAAATCTTTTTTTTAACCCTGGTATTGGCCAAAACAAAAATATTTAACGATTGAAAGAAATACCAAATTTAACAAATAAAACAAAATTTAAGATTTAAAAACAAGGGAGAACGCTACAGTCGAGCAAGCCCGACAGTGTAATACCCTGTACCCATGTAAACTTCCGTCACTGAGTTATATGCGCCCATAGCAGCAGCAAAAAGAGGAAGAAGAAGAGCGAACTTGTTGCTGCAGTTTGGGGAGGTTGTACTGGCGAGAATTTGTTTTGCTAATAACTTTTCTTAGAATTGACCGAATTGAATAAAATTTTATACAACAGTAGACAATTATATATTAATTATGTGTGCAAGTTTGGTTTAGGTAGCATTTGAAATGTGGACGGTATTGACGAAATTCTGTAGCGGGGGAAGGGGGGAAAAATTCCAAAAAATAAAATAAACTCGTCCTTACTCGGACCTAGGAGAATCTGGATGCCAACTTTGGTTATTCTAGCTTTTATAGTTTCTGAGATCCTCGCGTTCATCCAGACGGACAGACGGACAGACGGACGGACAGACGGACGGACATGTCTAGATCGATTTCTCTCGTCATGCTGATCAAGAATATATATACTTTATGGGGTCGGAGATGCTTCCTTCTGTATGTTACATACTTTGCACAAACCTAATATACCCTTTTTACCCTACGGGTACAGGGTATAAAAACGGTTATTATCAGTAATGTTAGCAGCTTATTCTTATATCTGTTACTGACGTTTTCTGAGCGTTCTTGTTTATGAGAATTTACTGCGATTGCATTTTATAAACGTTATGCTTAAAGAGCTGCGACTACTACTATGTTCTCAGATTCTTTACCATCTAGTCCAAAGTTGGGGCGATATCAGCCGTTTATTTTTGGTTTTTATAGAGAGTTGTTAAAATGTATACGAGTAACTAAGATTAGAGCTGGAAACGTTCGATTTTAATAAATATGTTGCATGTGGCGTCTGCCTCCGGTCCCCTTTTCCAATAAAGGCCGGCAATGTGTCCGCGGGGAAATTGAAAATTCCACTGATTATGCTGATTACATTTTATTTTAATTTCTGTGCCTGAGTCGCACACACCCTTGCCTGCCGTAGCATTTAAATTGTCGTTAGGGTGAATTCATCGAGTCGAGACGAACTGAGCGGCCGTGCCACGCTTTATTATCTGCTTGATTTTGTTTGGGTCTGGATATGGGTCTGGGATCGGGTTCGGGTTCGGCTTCGGGGCGAGTTCGGGGCGAGTTCCCCCTGTTTTTTCTGTCTGTTTGCCCAGAAACTGTTAGCTACGACGTCGACTGCATTTCATTGAGCGTAATTCCGTCGCTAATGATTTTTGGCACACGTAGTGGTACTTTTGAAATTAATGTGCTATAAAACAACAACAACACAGCCAGCCAAGCAACCAAGCAACCAACCAACCAAGCAAGCAGGCAGTGGCATTCAGAAAGAAAGCTAAATGGCTCTCTGTGGCATTTGTTGCGATAGGAAATTGCCTTGCCAGGCCAGGCCAGAGCAGACGACGGGCTCTCGTGCTCATTGCCGCCTCCTCAACCGCAGGCCAGAGGGCGCACAGTTGAAAATTTAATGAAACTTTTTCCTTAGCTTTGACTTACAACAGCAACAACAACAACAACAACCTATACGAACGAATCGCTTTTCACAGCTTGATTTCGGCCGGCTTCCGGGCATGAGCCCATTCCCGGACCTTCCATTGTTTGCATTTGTCATGCGGAAGTGCGCCACGTTTTTCTTATTCGCTGATAAGAGAGCGCAACATGCGTTTGCGGTTCGGGGTTTCCATGGTGTGGTGCTGCAGTGGTGCGGTGGTTCGCTGTTTTGGGTTGCTCTGCATAAATTGTCATATTAATTTATATTCGTCGTAACGTTGTGTACTTACTGTTGGCCCATGATGATGGTGTTGCGGTTTATTTCGATCTCCACATCGCTGCCGTTGTCTGTCTTAGTTTAGTTTCGAAATATGTATGTAATTCTAACGCAAACCATCATTACTTATGCATTCAGCTCACAGAATGGGAACGAGTGTGGTTACGCGTTTGGGGCACAAATATTTTCAATTTGGCAGACATTTGCATTCGCAGGCCCAGCACCCAAAATCAATTACCCAGTACACACGAGGGTTAATTAATTAGTACCCGTGTTTGAAATAATAACGTACTTTTCATTACAATTTCATTAATACATATTTATTATAGATTTAACATTTCAAAAATAAAAGATTTGTCAAACGCTTCCAAATACGTTTCTTCATTAGCCAGCCATGCTTTCAAGTTGAAGGGAACAGGAAAAGGTTTTGGATGGCAGGTCGCGTAAATTAATTGTAGCGCCTCGATGTGACGCTTTGTTCTTGTGATGGAATCTGGAATCTTTGCAGAAAGTCTAATTCCAAGTATAATTCCTGTGGAAAACAGTGGCTTTACTCTTTCTGGCTGCTGAAAAAGAATTTACCAGAAAAAATGCATTGTTTTGGATATCTTTTAGTCTTTGGCATATAATAATATATTCAGGTTTTATCAACGCTGTCAACTTAAATCGCTTAAATCGGTTCAACCACACCACACTGACAATGACGGTTGTTTAAGCGACACTTACGGCCTCCGTGATCAGCTTGAATCATGTCATGGACCTTTTCACGGATGTCCTCAGTAGTCCACACATGTGATTGGCGTCCTGACCACTCTTTAATGAATACAGTTGTACGATTAATAATTATCTCACCGTTGTCTTATATGGTGAAGGGTCTCTATAGACAGTTTTCAATTTTACTTCACGCAATTAAAACAATTCTCGGCAAAGTCTCCTGTCGTCAAAGACAGCTATTTGTTGGTCGACCCCCGTACATATGTACTATATACTTATAATAAATATGTATGTATTTGAATGTCACAAAATAGAGAGCAAATAGGGTCAATGGTTCGATCGCTTTTGGCGTTAGAAATAGCAATTGCAATACTTAGAGCAAAGAAGAGCATTGAACAATGACACAATTCGCAAAATAAATTAAATGTAGCTTTTATTTATTCAATTGTATTTATTTAGAACAAGTCCACAAACATAGCATATTAATTTTAAAGGAATATCATAAAAAATATATAATTCTAGATGCACATTCAAACTTCCATTCAACTACAAAAAGAAACCCATCATCGCGATGAATCGGGCAGGAGCTCTGGTATTGCCAATTCATTTCTTTGGAAATTGAAATTTTAAAAAAATATATTTTCCATGCAAATATCTTGTTCTTTAAAATTGTTTCTTCAAAACGCATAGGAAAATAAGTTCCTCGGGCCATCTAGTTTGAAAATACAAATTCAAATTTGGATATGTAATTATTAACAATTTACAAAATTTGTATTACTGTTTTGCACTTAAATTTGAACCTCACTAATTTAAATGGAGGAGGTGGCTTAGTAAATGTTTCTTATACTTTATATGTGTAAAGGTATTTGGGAATGACAGTTTCAGCGCGCGAAAGGGGAATTTACTCTCAAATATCTTCTATTTTCGAAGAGAGTAAGTCACGCTCAAGGTGTGTGTATAAGTGTATTTATTTTACATACAGAAGGCATGCAGTATTAATTGAATTGAACTTGACGCCGGGTGTTGTTGCAGTTGCCGAAAATTATTAAAAATAGTTTAATGTATACCTGCATTTGTAAATGTACAAACATACACACACGCATATCTAAAGGTTGTTGCAATGTAAAATGTGCATAATATTTGCTTAATAATGTGAAATTTCTGCGTGTTACAAAAGTAAATATCTACATACATACATAAGTACATACATACATACATGTGTGTATGGATGTATGCCACAATTGGTTTTTTTTTTTGTTTTTTTTTTAAGTGATTGTGAATGTGTTCTATTTGGTGTCTAGTGGTAAAAATTGCGAAAATAAAGAGGATCAAAACTGATGTAAGTACATAGATAATTACATATGCATGTATATTTTGAACACCATTAAATTTCTTTTTACGCATTAATTGCTGCTTCACTGCGTCGATATAACTGTTCATCTCTCTCTTTTTCTCTTTCTGCAAAATTGTCACAGTTGTGCTTGATGAGCAAATTATTCTTATTGTGAAAAAGAAAGAGACACAAAATATAATATGAGGAACACGAAATTTGCTTTGCTTGCTTTACTATGCCGCGTGTTTTGTAGAGATCCGTTTTGTTTGTATAAGAGTTTTCCAACATGCATAAATGTTGTATAAGTGAAGTGAGTTGTATGTATAAGGGTTTATTATTATTAGTCAGTTTTTGCAGATTGATAGAATTTGTGAATTTAAAGGAAAAACTTTGTGAAAATGTGGTTGGCAAAGAAAAAACATGTGTCTTATAAATACTTTAAATTATTAAAAATACATATGTTAAATTTACGCTTTTCTTTAGCTTGGCCCGGCTTTCTATGATCATGAAATGAACTTTTAAAACCAGGATTGTGTGTCACTCCATAGGGAAATGTACCCTTTTCGAAGTGCTTAATTTCTTTTAAATTATAGTTTCCAACCAAAATTACATTTATATTTCTAATCTAGAGAAATACATTTTTAGTTTTCTATTTCCTTAAGAGATGAAGATTACGTTTGCTTTACTTAAAATGATATCAAAAGTATTCACAGTTATCAGTCGAAAGCAATCAGATTGTTTTTCAATTTAAAACGTAACCACATAATTAAAACGTGACAGTATCATTGATTCGCATCCGAGTCGACGAAATGGTTTTTTATTTTTATAAATATACATAAGCTTGGCATGGATAGCGCTTCTCATAGATTGGCATTAAGGTATCATAAAAACACTTGGGGCTTTCTAAATTACTCTGATTCTTTTATGTCAGAAATTAATTTAAATGTTTGAATTGATTACCCCATTTATCGTAATTTATTGTAGCGCTACATAAATTTGTTTATTATGCGAAAATTTATGGGTAAACCGCGCTGATAACGACCCGCATTTAAGATTGAAAATACAAAAAAAAAAAAATCAATGGCACCATCATTAAATTTATGCCCAATGCAATGATCTGCCGCCCATTTCCCAAAGCACCACCACCAACATCATCAACCTATTCCTAACCATTCCCACGAGTGCCATAAAACACAACACAATATATTTTTTTGTATTTCTTGTTATTGCTGTTGTTGTTTCTGTTGTTCTAATGTGGCAACACAGAACACGCCGTCAATTAGTTACTTTAATTTCATGATAAAAACACCCAATGGCTCCGCATGTCGACATTGTAGGTATGCATGTTGCCCTGTACTCTATACTTATTAACGGACTGCGCAGTGCAAACAATTAAATTTTATACCACTGCCAGCAACAATAGCAACAACAACAACAACAATAGTGAGGCGAAAGAGCACCAAAATTACGAGCAACATGAAATTTTCTACATACACTTGAACTAAACTAAAAATTATCACAACTCATTTATCAGCAACAATTAATGGGTGTTATTTTTTTTATTGCCTATGCCAGCGCCAGTGCCATAGTCAACAGTAACACCAACAACGACCAACAACAAAAACAATAGTAAACACAACAACAACCACACGAACAACCCACCTAAAATGACATGTCATTAAGAGAGTCGTCGACGTCGTCATCATCATTGAGTACGAAGTGCACCCCGAAAACAATTCGGGAGATATGGACAGACTATCTATATGGTATATACATATACATATGTACATGCGTACATATATACATAGCTATTGGGCGCACATATGGCCTCAGGGCGTGCATAATTAAATCAATGGATGCATGGGCATAAATAAATTGGCAATACCCCCGGGTATTGCGCCCCCAATATATTTAGTCTTCAGCTAATAATGACTTCGATAGAATTTTGGTGAGCGCGAAATTCAATCACTGACATTTTCACGATTTGGTGATTTTATGAAAATTAAAACGTATCCAATTCTACAGTGAAATATAACGGGTGTGCCAGATTTTTGTGAATAATTTTCATAACAATTTTGCATTTAATGGAAATGATATAAAATTCACTCTTTGATTAAAAGAATATGTATATATGATTAAATTATTGTATGAATATGGGGAAATCACAACTTGTATGCACTTTTATAATTAATTTTCCTTCCACTGCACTAAGGGCACAATTGAAAATAACCGGAACGGAAATAACATTTGGAATTTCGATTCCGACATATGCAACCAAAATTGAAAACAAACAGAATTGCACATCATTCAAAAACTAGATGTGTAGAAGAAGACATTCTACATATCAATATTTTATAATTTATTTTAATAACACAATGTTTTTTTGTGCCAATCATATATTCAGGTATTGATTACCTCGCATACTATAACGAATTTAAAAATGTTTGTCCTTAACACTGGGATACTTTAAGTTTGATATTAATCGCATCACTTGGAAAGGAAAACTTTAAATTCCGATTTTTAACCAGCAATGTTAAAATACTGTTCTTGAAAAAATGCTTCATGAATTCGATTTAAAGTTGAAGCTATTTATATATACAAGTATACGTAGTGGAAATTAAATGTAAAGGTGCGTACAAGCAGATTTCTCTTAAAATATATAATGTTGACCGAACAAGTTATAGAAAATTGTGGTTTGCAAAGGTCTAGAAGAAGGCTTACTAACAATCGGATATGAATAGTGAAATTATAGTTGAACAGCAACTGTCATAGCTCTTGCTGTTTATTTGACTACTTTCTAAAAGTAAAAAAAGTAGTTGTTTATAATTTTTGAGAACACTACTTACCTACACATTTAATAAATATATTTTCTCAAATTAGCGTTCCAGAGAAGCTAATAAAATTCTATGAATCTTCATATGGTTTAAATTTTCGATATGTATATGGTGCCGAAACAAAATATTATTTTGACTTTATTTAATTTAAAAGAAACAACCTATTGAAATCAAAAGTAATGAAATGATTTATACACTCTTCAAGGAGCTACCGATAAGAAAAATTAAATACATTTTAATTAAAATTTATTAATTAACTATACAGAGGGATTTGTTCAGGTACAGAGTATGTATATGCGTGAGATTACATTTCAAGAAAGTGAATATCGACTGCGTGGTGATCGACATCGACGTTCGGATGGAGCTGCAAGAATTTCACATATGCCAGAAACGTTGTCCAGCACATGCTGAAGAATGAGGTAAAGACCACCTGATTACGGGCCGGGACGAAGGCAAAGTTCACCGTTTGCACGCAGGGCCAATAAATAACGCCAACTTTATAGGCATCGAAGAATTTATTGCTAACCTGTGGGGAGACAAAAAGAAACGTTGAATGAAATACAAAAAGCACAGAAAGGAAAAAAAAACAGCCGAGAACTGTGAAAATTACTTGGTGCAAGAAGTGGGCGTGGCTCAAGTCTCCAGTGCATGAGTGTGTGTGTTTGTGTGTGTGCATGCGACATGATTTAAATGCCAGGCGTCGCTCGACTGGGCCAGGAAAATGCCAGCGCGGAAAATTGTAATTAAGTGAGACTGAGCTGACTGCGAGCCTTTAAAATTTTATTTATTGCGAGCGCCGTCGCGTCGTTGCCGATGCCGATGCCGCTGCCATTGCCATCGAGTGTGTGAAAATTGTTATGCTCACCATTTTGCAGCTGCCACGCCTTGCAACATTTGTAAATGTTGTTAATTAAAAGGCGAGCACGCTCAACACCATTGTGGGCATGGAAAATTTTCACATTTCGGCCATGTTGCCGCAATACTTAAATAATACCCGTACTCTCCTCTACTACTTGTACATATGGCACACACTCGTAGTCGTGCATAGTCATGTGTGATATGGAGCGGCATGGCCTCTGGATACTTTAAAATCAACAGCAAAGTTGGGGGTTAGACTTTGTTTTTATTGCTAATTAAGTTTTAATTGGCTTTTACACACACATGTGCATGCGTTATGAGTGTTATTTTTCTGTTTTTTAAATCTAGGGCTGAAGCTATGGCTATTAAACAATAAATGTTGTTGTCATGAATGGAAAATAAATGTACGGGTTTTTTTTATGTCATTACTTTTATGGCAGTCAACCATCAGTATATAATAACAACCTATGACTTTAAACCGTTTGAGTGATAAGCAACACGATATTGAAGTCAATTTTGAGTTAATTTATAGATATAAATATACTGAATATGTAATATGTATATGAAAAAAGCCAACAGGCACCTTTTATTTTATTGTAAATTTAGATAATTAAATCCTTAACAATGTAAAGCAAATTTAAACAAGAGTTTAATTGGCATTAACTGAAATATATATGTATATGTTACATGAACACATATGTTTCGATAAATTATCCAATTAAGAACTACAAGTATTGCAATGCGCTGTAGCGCAGTGTTGATCAATCCCGCCTTTTCAGAACAAATTCTGACTTAACAGCAGAGCCTTAACAGGCGTGAAAGAGTTTAACAGACAATTATTATTAACATTTATGTAACGATTAACATTCCCAGGGACATTTTAAATGTCATACTGATTTATTTTAACAATGTTAGGCTTTTGAGCGGCGTGAAAGTTTCATTTGACATAAGTATTACGTATGTGTTATATTAATTAAATGATTTGTGTTTGTAGTGAGGGAATGTTAATTACTAGCGTGCTATTTGAATTGAATAAATTCTAGCGCGATCAATTCTATTTGCAGTCTGTCAAAATGTTCTCTCTTTATTAGTTTGTAAATTTAAATCCCTTTCAAAAGAAGCCCACATTCTTAAAGCTTCACAACTTCTGCCAACTTCTGTTGCGACAATTTATTTCTATCGAACTAAATATTCCATTAAGGCATTCCATTTTCCCACATAACTCTCTAAGGCATGCCTGTTATCTAAAATTCTTGCCAATTAAGTGCAGCCATAGATCTTAGAGTGCATTCAGGCCAACGTGAAATACGCACCGTTCTAGCATAAATCGATGGTGAAGCATTTACATACATACATATGTATACAAAGATGAATGGTTTCTAATAATATAGAAGTGAGACGACGCGTCGTCTCAGACGCGCATTTCTCAGACTATGGCCGCATAGGTAACAAATCAACGTTGACAACTTTTAGAGTGCACACACACACACACACACACGCACACACACACACACACACACACATACATACACATGCACACTGGTGATATTTATGCATGCATTACGTTAACTTACATTACAGCCACAAAGATGCAGATACAGATACTGCTCTTGATACACGAGATGCACGAGCATAAATAAGTATAAAGAGGGGCAGATGTGATGGTGACTGGTGACTGGCGACTGTCGTGAGAAAATGTGTTTCCGAAAACCCACACAGAAGACAACGACGACGACGACGACAACGATATGTGAAATATGAAACCAAAATAACTTGAAAACCACATGCAATGCGATAACAAATTGAGAACTGACCAAGAAACACCATTTTTTCAGATGCGCTAAAAAGCGACAGCAACAAAAATAATAATAATAAATAAGAAGAACAAAAAGGCAACCAACCACAAAGATGAAAGATGAAAGGAGATTTAGACGGCAACGAATAAAATCAAAGAAAAAAACGGCAAAGTCGGAGACGGACACAGAAATGAATCAACTTGAATGACTTAATGTGCGCGGCAATTGGGGCAACTGCAACAAAAGCAACAGCAACAACAACAATTACAGCAACAGCAGCAACAAATGGCGACGACAACGACATAATCGGCAAGCAGTCGACATCGTCAATGGACTTTGGAGTCTGCGTCTCAGTCTACGGGTTTATGTGTCTCTTAACTTTTTTTTGTTGTTGCTTTTTTTTGTTTTGTCGCCTTACCTCCTTCTTGGCCATCTCATATGTGTTGCCCTCCATCAGCGTCATAAAGAAGAGAAAGGAACTTATGGCCATTGGGTCGTATGCGGTCTGCTCGGTAATAGCTTTGCAAAGCGATGACTTAATATCGGTGCGTGGCCACATAATGCCGGCCAGTCTTATCCAAACATAAATCGTGGGGCCCATAAAGAAAAAGCCAAATAAACTGAATCTGTAAGAAGTGCCAATTACACATTGCAGTGAAAATTAACAACTACTTAGCCAATGTCAAGACACAGTGGTAACTGCTTAAGATAAACAGCAATGAGTTCCCATCAATTATTGGTGTACTACTGTTATTTAAATATGTATAAAAAGGGTTTATTTTTTTCAAATTCTTCGCAAATTTATACGCTGATTTCTAAATGAAACCAAAATTATTGCCATTACTTTAATTACACCTAATTCTGTTTTTACACGATAGATTGGTTCCATAAACAAACATAAAAATCGTGTAAGAAAAGGCCGTGTAAAAACAGAATTAGGTGTATTAATCACACCTGTGTTCTCTAAAGCTATTTTAGATGTAAAGATAGACTCACTAATACCTGACTCATAGCTCTAACTTAATTAAAGACAATTGCACTCAGCTGTCAAAACATATCCATACTGTAAAATGTTTTAAATTTTGGATTTATACGAATAAGATTCTTGAAATTTCACGCTAGCTTTGTTCTTGATTTCTGGAACGGATTTCTCTACACACTATTAGATTCTCATTTGTTTTGTATTATATTCATGATTTTAAAAGGATTTGCAAATTTATTTCAAGTTTCTTTAATCTCTTCGTCGTATCGCTTAGCTATCACCCACTTAATGGGTATGTATTTTGTTCAACGGCCCTAATGTTTAGGAAGTATTACAAAAAATTTTCTACAGCAATGTTTAATCTTAAAAAAACAACAAATATTGTAACTGATGCAATATTTCATGCTGTTGATCTTATGATTACTCTTCTGTAAAAGTATATAGATACTTTTCATATATATTTATCGCTCTACTCACTTGACGCACTTCATCCAGTCGTATGTTTGGAATGTACGTTTCTCGATCAGCGTCTGCTCGATGAGGGAACCGCAGGGCCAGAGGGTGCCATATGATATCATGCCTCGAATGATTTTATATTTGTTTGTAAAGTTTACAAAATTGCGCCACATTTTCGCAGTTGAGATTTGTTGATTTTGTTTTATTGTTAACAATATATCTTGAGGTTATCGTTTATGGTTGATACGGCTTTGGAGCAGAAAGAGAAATTGTTTCAAGTCAAAAAGTTGTTTAGTTAGCTTATTTGGATTGCTTTAGTCATCTATATAACTACACGATGATGCTGTGAGTCATGTGCGTAGCATTGTGATAAGTATATACTTAAAAATAGGTAGTTGCGTGTCTTTAGCAAATTTCACAATTTTCAGATATTTGCATAAGGCTGGAAAGTGCTAAAAAAAAGTCATGAACATAACTCGTGGGAAGGTGATCATGGCTCTAACGTTTGTTTATTAAGAATATGGAAATTGTTTTGCAATGATTTGACAAGCTTAGAATTTTTTGAAAATATGTCTTCTTTAACAAAAATGTGTAATACGTTTTGTGCAATATTCTGAATATTAAGAAATATGCTTGTTTCCTCGAAGTAATTGATGACATCATTTGTTAGTTTTGTGAAAAATATTTCAATTTGTTGTTGTTTAAATTTGTGGCTGTTCAGCAAGAAAAATAAATTTATGGTTTGGATTAAGTTGGAAAATTTTTAAAAATTTGTAAAGATCATGCTTGAATCTAGAAAGGTATAAACGGAATTAAAAACAATCTATATGCTGGAAGTATTTCAAAATTTTTACAAATATATTACGTGTTTTAAAAATACGTCATTTCTATATTTTTAAATCCAATGCATTTTTCTTAAAGAAACTTTTTTTTTAAAACTATGTACAAAACAGGGAGTAGTGACAGCTAAAGATTGCGTATAAATGGCATATAAATATATATATATGGTATATAAATATTTCGTATTTAACAAAACATGACCTAAAGGCCAGTAAGGCAGAGTTGAATTAATAAAGATCGGTTTTGTATTATCATGATTGTCTTAGCGCTATACAAGCCCACATATGTACATAGTTGGGACCATTTTTTTGTAAGTTTAAGTTTGGGTTTGGGACTTGGAGTTGTTATCTGATTCGCTTTTTATGTAATTGATTTGCTTCTTTAGTCATTCTGCTGCGAGTTTCATTGCTTTCGAATCATTTATCTATGCAATGCAAAGTAGTTGCGCAACATAGTAGAGACTTTGTCCCGCCATTAGCTTATTTAAATTTCAAATTAAACTGCCAACAAGCAACATCAACAAAAAAAAGAAAATAAAAAAGGAAAAATGGAAAGAAATGCAAATGAATGCTGAGGAAACATTTTGTTTTATGCTGATAAGCAAAAGACAACAAAGGCAACAACAATAAAACCTAACAACGCATGTTTGGACAATCGTTCAATTCTATACGGATATACTACGAGTATATACGCATTGGGTGGACAGGCCATATAACACAGAAACACTAAACTTACATACATATGTACATACAAACAGACTGACACGCACCTTGCACTACATGCTGCGGGTTGAGAGGAAACTTGGGATCGTGACCATGGCCGGGCCGGGCCGGGCCGGGACTGGGCTGGGCAGGACAGGGCAGCATGTACATGTTAATTACTTGTGAAAATATGCAACAGACGGTCAGAAACAACAAAAGCGCAAATAGCGTGCCTGCCATTTGCCATGAGCTACAGTTTTTCACACTAACTGAAATTACCAGGCACTGGGAAGGCGTACAAGGACGGACAGAACAGCAGGCAGGAAGGCAGGCGGGCAGCCTATTGTGTACATGTGTGTGTGTGCTAGAGATGGTAGCAATAGGACAATTGAAAGTCACGCGAATTTGTCTAAAGGATATGCAATGAATCGCAACAGAAAGTGTTTGGCAGTTTTCAAACGTTCCTACAAAATCAAGAAACTAATGTTTCAATTTTTGTTCCAAAAGTGTGTAACATTTTTTAATGATTAATTTTTAATGCCCATCTTGTCAAACATCAACTAGAGACAAACAAATCTTCTAAAGTTTCCAAAGAACATCTATTCAAATATTCCAGAATACGCTATTTGGTTTGAGAAAAACATATCGATATAACAATAATATCTATGTGAACATTTTTCTGTTTTTTTTTTTAAAAAGAATAAACATTTTGTTACCTAAATAAAAGTGTAAAAAAAATCGTTGCATTTTAATATGAAGAGCCTCTCTAGCGTGTCTTGTGTCTTTATTATCATTTAAGTAATTCAGGAGTACAATCACGCACCCATCCCTATTGTGAACCTGCTGCTGCCTTTGTGCCTGGCCAAGTATTGGGCTGTGGCTACGCGTGTGTGCGGGCATACTAATTACAACAGCAATGGCAGGAACACCGAACAACCGAAACAACAACAGCTACAACAACAACTGCAATAAGTGGTGGACTACAGTTTTGGGAATGGGGGTGTGGTATACAGCAAGTGGATGTGGATGTGGCTGTGGCTCTATAATCGCCTCAACTGCCGCTGACTTGGCCGCTGCTTGTTCGCCGCTCATTAAGCGGCAGCCAAAAACTTCAAATCACACGTCACCTCCACTTCTGTTCTGTTCCAACTATTTCTTCTGCTTCTGTGTTCTTTCTCTTCCGTTTGGCATGGCCCTTCCCCCGTTGCCCGCCCCCCTCCTGGCTTATTATTACAATGTACAATTCATTTCTGTTGGTTTTTCGGTTTTGGTTTCAGTTCGAGCTGCCGTGTTTCGGTATCTTTTGCTCAAAGCCTAATTACTTTTTATGACAGTCGAGTGAATATGATAAATCTTTTTGCCCTCCTCTGTTCAAATTGCCGTTGCTGCTGGCAGCTACAGAACATTATTTCAACATTTGTTCCGTGTGTTTTCCGAAACGCTCAGAATATACGAGTACTTGCAATTAAATTTATGTGTATTTCAGTAGCGGTAGCGGTACTGGAAGTGGAAGTGGCAGCGCGCTCTACTCTGGCTGACATGCTTCGAATGGCATCTTACGAGCATAATACTTGACATGTGTTGCGTTTCATCCACAATTATTATTTTTTCTTTTTTACGATTAGGACTGTCGCCGCCGTCGCTTTCATAATGAGCCAAAAGTGTCAGCTGTGCAAGTGTCTGAAATATGGCATTTATTTGCAATGGGTATTCAGAGTGCGACAATTTTGAGTTCACACACGATAATGTGCAGCATTACGACACTGTTTCTTGATGCATATGGTGGCCATGAATGGTTGACTCTAAATTGAACTGCTCATACTACTATTATAATTGTATTACTATATGTTTGTTACATACATAGATACATAGATATTTAAAGCAGATGACAAAACGTGACAAAAGATTACAATGTCGTGTTTCTCGTATGTGTATCCCCTATCCTACTAACAATATTTTGGACAGTCTTTCAACCGTTCTAGCTGATGCTGATGATCCTCATCGGCTCCTCTTGTCGGCACTGAGCCCACCATGAGGTGACTCGTGTGGTTTTCAGAATACTTCACGACAAGATCTACCTACTAGCTATATCCTAACTGCTGTTATCTTTCTAGTCTGCAGTCTCCGTTGTTAGCAAGGGTCCTGTTTGTTTTACTGTGGTTTCTCGTTTGCTTCGCTGTCGTTTGTTCCTTAATAATAGGCCCATAAATAAACCAAAAGTAGCTTCAGGTATAAGTCGAAAAGTCAGCACACAAGTCAGCCCTGAGGGCAGTACACCTACTCTTCATGCTATATAGGCCTCTACTGCGCACCAAAAGTTGACATCCACAGGACAATCCAACAACCACGTTAAATGCAGTCCTCATATTAATTCATGATTAATTATTTTGTAATATGCAAAAAAGTTATATTAATTACATATATTAAATTTGTTGTTTTAGCCTTGTAAGCTATTTGTAATTGAACAACTTTAATTGTCACCAAGGTTTTGGAAAACTGGGATGCGCTATTGCTAAGCTAGCCGCAAGTATGAAATCGTGTCCCTTAAAAAATGTAACTGCTCTCTATGAAAAATTATAGCAAAAAAGATTGACCTTTCTTAGTTAGTTTTTATTTTTAAGGATAACGCACTAAACTGCTGCCACAACTTTTTTTAATGCATGTATAAGGAATAATTTTTTTGACTGGCATTACATTCGATTTGAAATTTCCATTCAATGAGTTTTATAAATTCAAACCAAGTAAACATTTTTAATACATTTTCATTTAGTTTCCATTACAAAACATAAAACTAAAGAATTTTAAATACAAGTATTTGCAAAGCATTTTATGCATTTAATAGGCAGCCAGTAATTTATATTTGAAGTCGGCAATTAATTTTTGCTATTTTTGCCGAAAGTTATTTCATTCAAAGTACCAAATTGTTTTGACTATTTGTAGGCCCCTTTTTACAATCCCGCCCCACCTTATCGTTAACTTTCCGCATTTATGGGCCATTTTAAACAGCAATTTCACAGCAAAATATTTGGAATAGCCCGAAAAACTTGCCGCACCCTCTCCCCCGGCCACCCCTTACTTTTGCCATGATAAATTTTTAATGCGCCCCCAGCGGCAAATGTGCAACAAAATCATTTTCACGCTCTCAGCAACAACAAGAGCGGAGCGTTGCACATAAATTAAAAGCAAAATGTTTATTTACGCCTTGGTGCGGGCAGTGGCAGTGGAGAGAGGAGTGTGGAGCAGGGGCGGGGCGGGGCGGTGGCAGCGGTACCGTCAGCTGCGGAGGTGGGGCCGGGGGCCAGTGGATGATCAGCGAGTTTCCTGCGCAACATTTGCATTTTGACGCTGTTTTTACGCATTATGATGTGAGGCAGAAAAGTCTGTTGGCTGACTGGTTGGATGGTTGGATGGTTGGAAGGCTGGATGGCTAGATGGCTGACTGACTGGCTTATCAGGCAGGCAAAATCAAATAGAGGAGGGAAGACAGCCCGCAGCATCTACAGCCAGTATTTTGTTTAATTTCGCACTCTTGAAAAGTGGCAGGCAACGCGCCACTTGGCCGGCCTTTTGATGTTGCAAGGCTCTGTTGCTGCCGCCACTGCTGCTGATGCTTTGATGGTCGACAGAGGCCGCGGCAGCTGTTGTTTGGCTTCTTGCAGCCAAACTCCACGGGCAGCGTGTGAGTGTGAGTGGCAAGCAGACGGATAG